GTAGGCATTCATGGAATTTCAAGCCAGTGCTGTGCCAGATCCAGATGCTACTTCTAAAAATGAAACTCAAGTTGACCTTTAAATCTTGGTCCAACTTTCTAGTGATTCTGAAGAATAATTAATAATAGAGAGCTGGTTTTCACTTTTAATTTTGGGTTGCCTTGGCAAGCTGGGCTGCTTCTCAAAGGTGACCTTCTGGAGCTCTTTTCTAAATAACACCCAAGAAACTGCTTTGTTTATTAGAGTTACTTTGTGAAGAAGCAATGAACCTGTTACAATATCTCATTTACAACTAAAGTGCAGCATTCAGCTAATTGAATACACGGCTACTGTTAATTATTTTGTTACAGCTAATTGGTATTCACTGGGATCGTGTTGCTGCGGTCCCATAAATATATTATTACCTTAAAGTTTTTATTTCTTCAGTGAAATCTCTTCTGTTGGAATATTTATATAGTCTTCTGTGTAAATGTGTTTATATATATATATTTATATATATATATATTTCATTGTGCTGTGTCTGTATTATTTTACAGATACCAGAGGCATTAGCTATATGGAATACTGTTATACTGGGTTTTTTTTACTGGCCTACCAAATCTTCCAGTTACTTTCACTATAGAAGGAACTAAACCTTTGGCTTAATGTACTATTTAGTGTTCTTATAATCTGATATTTCTACTTTATTGGTGATACAAAATCTTGGATAGGTTCAAGGCAAAAAGCTCTATGAATACAATTTGCTGCTTGACCCCATTTCCTTAGAGCAATAAAATCCAGCTGTTTTGATCACTAATTGTCTTGGGGGAAAAGGATAGCAAACAAATAAACTTAACAGGGCAAAATTTCTCATTCAGACTGATATCTCCTGAATAAATGCTGTTTGCATCCTGTGGTTGTACTATCTTTTGTATACATGTTTAGTGATCAGATACCATGCAGCAAATAAATTTTTCTATTTCAGTGGTTTTTGATCAGCAAGACTGACACAAATCGAAAGAATTTCGGTTAACGTATGGGTCCTATGGAGGTCTCCTTGCAAGTTTTTTTTCAGATCAGACTTTCCGACTATTCTATGATGACGGTTTTAGAATTAATTGTATCTATATAAGACAAGATTACAGGTCAGTAGATATGAACCTCTAAAGCAGTATTTTTGAACAGAATTTTAGGTTTCAGCTATACGTACTCAAATTCTTGTTTAGATAGTGGTCAATGACAGTCTAATTCTGTCAAATCCATTTTTTGTCATTCTCTTACTTTATTTCTGCTGACCCATATAATAGGATAACACGAGCGTATGAATTGCAGATGCAGTATCGTAAATGATCCATCTTAAACATGCTTGTCTGTGGTGTGAGAGCTGAAGCATACTTTACTATCAAGAGTGTCTTGTGGTAATTTAGTTAAAATCAACACGAGAGTTTTTGAAGTAATTTTTTTTATTAATGCTTTCTATTTGGTTTCTTCCATTATAAAGATATCCAGAGCAATATACTGTGATCTGGAAACTTTTTATTAGATATTTTTCAGCTTTCATGTCTTCCATTCTCTATATTTCTGTTTTATGAAGAAAAATAAAAATGGGCAACTTGAGTTGTTCTATAAAAGATTTTTTGCCATTTTTCTAGGAACATAGTTATTTGTCCACACATCAGAGCTTTTCTTGATCCAGAACTTTTAAGATGAGTGGGTCTTAAATCCCTCAGCACTCTAAGGAATAACCTGCAGAATACTGGGAAATGAAAACAGTAGATAATATAGATAAAACATAATTTTGCATTTACAAAAGATGCAAAAGCTATGCAGAAATGCTCCAAGTTCTTTTACAAATGAGAAATGGGACTGGATCATGGTGCAGCCTACAGCTACGCTTTGATGGCATCATGTTAGAACATAATCGATGGCTTCAGCATTGCTGTACAAGATGTCTGGATTTTTTGATTGAACCTACTACGATTCATCTGCTTCATAAAAAGTGCATTGTGAATATTCAATTGTGACTGTTGCTTCTCATTCTTTCAATCCTCATCTTTATCTATGAGAGAATGGTTCTGTTAATCTCTTACTATTGTTTTCTTTCTGTGAGATGAAAAGAATTGATTCTGATTGATCAGCTGGACTGGAGGAGAGGATGGGTTTCTGACATGAAGCCTTTTTTCATTTCCTCCATCATTGCAATGTGTACCTTTTACCTGTTGTTGCCAGAAGTGTGGCAAGTGCAGTAAATCACACCAGTCTTGCTCTTTTTAAAATATATCTTATTGGTTATCCAATGATTTTATTCCTTAGTTTCAGGATATTGGTAGAATCGTGTGAAACACACTTGAATTTTAAGAAGTAAAGCTTAACTAAGTTCTTGTGAGAGTAATGGAACATTAATTTTTACCATTCCTTTGTCACTGGCCTATTTAACTGCACTCAAACAAAAGGCATGAGTTTGCAAATATTTGAGAGATCATGAGGTGGTTATGCATAAAATGATTGCATATGGGAAGCTATGATAATGCACTGAAGTGTAGTATTTAAATGCCAGGAAAGGGATGGTTCAGGGAGGCACAATGCAGTGAATTTTTATTTCCTATGACCAGGACAAAAGGCAGGTTTGAGAGGCAATACAGGGATTATCAGGGAAAAGCATAACCATGATCAATACGAAGCGTGGTAGTTAGGTTGATTTAGCCTAATCAGATTTGGAAAAGCATGTAATCAGTTTTCTTTAGTGTACAAAAGCTGATTTAAATGATGGCGGACAAAGCTGTAGCATGTGCTCCATGGTTCTATACTCAATGGAGGATAGTAGAGGAAGAGCAAGATTTGGTTAAACCAAGTAGAAGTTAAACTTGGCTATGTGCTTTTTGTATCAGCAGGGATGTTTTTGGTGAAGTTGCATAAGAAAACGTCTTGTCTTGACATCTTTGTAAGTGAGCACCTCCCCTATGAAGACAAGCTTGAGGGATCTGGGCTTGTTCAGCCTGGAGAAAGCTGTGAGGAAACCTCATTGCAGCCTTCCAGTATTTAAAAAGGGATTATAAACAGGAGGGGAATCAACTTTTTACTAGGGTAGATGGTGATAGCATAAGAGGGAATGGTTTTAATCTCATGGAGGGAAGATTTAGATTGGGTGTCAGGGGGAAGTTCTTTACTATGAGAGTGATGAGGTGCAGGAACAGGCTGCCCAGAGAGGTTGTGGATGTTCTGTACCTGGAGGTGGTCAAGACCAGGTTGGATGGGGCTCTGAGCAGCCCAGTCTGGAGCTTGGTGACCCTGCCTGTGGCAGGAGGGTTAGAACTTGATGATCCTTGGTGTCCCTTCCAACCCAAGCCATTCTATGATTCTTTGATGATTCTAAGATCGTGTGTGGTTTTCAGCCCTGTTCTGGATTAGATGTGCCTGACAGGCATACATTATTATGTATTCCTTCTCTCCACTCTTATATAATCAATTTAACTTGAACTTTTTGATTTTTTGCATGCTTCAGGAGATAGAAAAAAAGGTAAGTGCTTCAGGAAATTCTAACCAAAACCTCGAAGTCTTTGTTTTATTCACTGTCTAACCTCCAAGACGAATCTTGAGGAGGAGAATTAAGCCCTGTATCTGTACAAGTGCAGCACAATGTATGGTATAAGGAAGTTTTCTGCTACGCTTCTGTGAGCATGACCTGTAAACTCTGGGTGGGAGGAGTTTACATTTCCTGTTTTTCATGATGCAGTTAGGAAGGGGAACTGTTTGCAGTTAACTCTGTGTTATCAGTAGCTGAATGAAAATGTTAGTGATGAATGACTAATTTTGAATAGACAGTTGTGGTAATGGCCATTGATAGTTAATTATTGTTTGCTAAAGATGCTTTATCATTAATTAGGTAGGGTAGTATGGTTGGACTTCATGATCTTTAAGGTCTTTTCCCACCTGAGCATTTCTATGTTTCTATGATTTTATAAAAAGGTTATTTGCCTGAAGTGAGTTTGCATTGTACAGTTGACGTCATAGTTGATGTTTATATACATCTGGTATATTCATGTGTGTAGTTTTAATCATAGGATCAATATAGCTTGGGTTAGGATCTTAAGGAGCATCTAGTTCTAACCCCCTGCTGCAGGCAGGGATGCCAACACTAGATCAGGCACTAAAGCAGGTTGCCCAGAGAATGTATTAATGTATTCTGTAATTCTTAATAAGTCCCTAGAACACGCATAGTGGAGCATATTACAGATGAAAAGGAAAAAAAAAAAAAAAATCAATTTGCTCAGTAGTGCTGAAAACATCTTAACATGAATATCTGCATTATTTTAAGGTACTGAACATGCAAATGACCATACGTTAAAGGGTTTCAGCTTAGCTGGATACTTCAAGTGAACTAGGAGTTTCCAGAAGAATAATAATTAAAGAGGACATCAGAGTTTTAAATACGCTTTTTAGATCTGCTTTTGCAAATGTGCAAGCATTTGGTTCTTCTGAAACATTCACATGTTCAAAATGAAGTGCATGCTAAACGCTACTAGGGTTGTAGAGAAAAAGCACTACTTCAAAAACCCTCTTTTTACCACAGCCTGCAAATGTACAGATGCAAGTTTAGCTATTCTCATGTCAAAATGCCCACTCAGTAACAATTTGCAAATAAAAATTAAGTGAGTCTCTCCATATACTCTGTTCGGTAGCTTGAGCACATTTCCCTAAGTTGAGAAGTGATCTGCAAAGTTAATATCAAATTTTGTCTCAGCATGGAACGCTTGGTTCTGTCTTTATGACGTGTCCAACTACATTCGAACAAACCATGGCACAGCTGTTGAGGAGGCAAGGGAAGAACAGTACAATAGACAATCTCTTCCCATTTTCAATGCAGCAATCATCATCTTATTAATGCACTGTTTGGCAAAAACTAATAGACTGCAGTTTTCAATCACTGTATATTCCTTACTGGTACAATTTATGGTAGATGTTTTGCTTTGTGAGTGATGCTCTTTTCTGATCCAGTTTTATCTTTCTATTTCTTTTTTTAGGCCAGGCAGCTGGAAGAGAAAGACAGAGAACTAAAGAAGCATGATGCCTACTACAAAGAGCAGCTGGCTCGGCTGGAAGAAAGGGTAAGCCTTTCTTCCTTCTTAATGAAGAGTTTTCTGTTTATTTCTGCTACTGACTTTCTGGTTATGTTTTATTGTTAAACAAGATGACTTTTCTAAGGAGATGAAGATTAAAGCTGTGGCTAGAGAGGGCTTTTTTTGGTATTAACTGCTACTGTTTCTGGCTTATTTTATATTGACAAAACGGAGGCTTTAAAGTTGAGGATGTTCTTTTCCTTATTAGCTAAGTCCTCATGTTTCAGTGAGATTTTATCTGTCATAGCAGTTACGTACAGAGAATCATTACCTTCCTACCAGTACAGATAAAGAACTAGTGCAAGTAAATAGGCATTACCAACCAGTCTGAAAATCCTATGTGAAGTGGGAAGATACCTGTTGAATTTCATTACTTGCATTGTGATCCACAGTTACTCCCATTGGGCAGCTGGTGGTTCCACCAAACCCATCTGCAGCTTAATATTAACTGCAGGTTGTTTAGGACATATTTAAAAATGTACTTCTGTGTCTCTTTTGCAATAGAATTGAGACTAAACTATACAGAACAGTTTGGTATTGTCTGAAGAGCTTACAGTGTACATTTAATAGGAAATGCTTCAAGATATTACTAGCATATATTTATTTATAGAGTACTATTCTATAGGATGCTATTTTCAAACTAATTGTTATTGCCATCATGTTCTAGATCCCAGGTTTGTTGTAACCTTCAGCCTGAATGTTTTCCTCTTTCTCCTTCCTTCTTTCTGAGCTTATTTATTGTTTAATTTGGATTTTTTGTTAGTTTTGAAAACAGTGTTAATATGATATATATTCATTTATGCAGCTTAGCAGGATAGAGAGAAGAAGAATGCTTGTTTTTATGGATTAAAAAGAAGAGCGTGTTGCTTGAATTATCAGTCTGTATAATTGATCTTAATGAATATTTTAAACAGAGGACATACCAGATTCCATCTCATTATTTTGATCAACCTTTTTGAATATTGCATTAATAAGGGCATGTTCTTGGCAATGAAGAACAGTTTGAAAGGATGAGGTTAAATTATTTTAATGATTGTAAAAGTGTGTTATTTAAATAGTCACAAATGAAGATCCCTCATGCAAAATCCCCACAGAATACCTTCCTTGTTCTCAAGTAGCTGACTGATGATAGGGCTAAAAGCATCTGTAGCAGCTCATCCAAGCTAGATCCAAGCATGGTTGTACCTGTTCAGTTAGTTATTGGTCTTCCATTCTGTTGTTAAAGTCCAAGCAGTGTTGGAGTAGGCCAGGTTGGATGGGGCCCTGGGCAGCCTTGTCTAGTATTAAATGTGGAAGTTGCTGGCCTTGCTTGCAGAGGGGAGCTTGGTGCTTGATGATCCTTGAGATCCCTTCCAACCCAAGCCATTCTATGATTCTGTGATTATATGGAGTAATTGATGGCAAACAACATGAAAAAACCCACAATTCTTTGCTTGTGTTTTACCTTTTTAAAGTGCTATGCAGCAAATAAGGTTTTTATTCTTATCTGTTTTAAATTTTAAAGTAGGTCACTGATACAGTGCCTTCATTTGCTGCTGTTAAGTGGCCACTTCCAGCGTGGAATTTCATTTTAAAAGGCATGTGAATATATCGTTGTTGCATACAAATGATGTAGTGAACTATAAACACCTGTGTTTTATACTGCTGAAGTTCTGTCCCTTCATATCATACGGGTGATCTTTGCCAGCTCTTGTTCTACATCTTGATCTTAAAGTCTCTAAGACTACAGCAGACAGTTCTGAATTGACTCTCTTGTTCTGTGGGTGATGTTTGCTCTGTCTTCAGAGTTGAGTTCCTGCGCTACTAAGGCAAGTATTTACTTTCTGACTTTGGTGTCACACTGGAACAGGTTGCCCAAGGAGGTTGTGGATGCCCCATCCCTGGAGGTATTCAAGGCCAGGCTGGATGTGGCTCTGGGCAGCCTGGTCTGGTGGTTGGCAACCCTGCACATAGCAGGGGGATGAAACTAGGTGATCATTGTGGTCCTTTTCAACCCAGGCCATTCTATGATTCTATGACTTTTTATTTGTAAGCTAAATAACCTTTGCTTTGCTAAGCTGTCATCAGGTTTGTTTTCAAAGTACATGCGCATATCTCTTCTACACAAAAAAACAAAACAGTTGTTCAAGCTCTGGGAGAAGGTGAACTCTGTGCTCCAAATCGGGCTTTGAACTTTTTCAGAGATGTGGAGATTACAGAATGAAAACCTACAAAAGCAGAGAGGTCATGTATCTTGCAATCCAAGCTTCACTGAGGCTGATGCCTGCAGCTGTTATTAAGGTCATTTGTGAGTTTCACTATTGCTTATTTTTTGAGCACTGGGATGGAAATAGAGCTTTAAGAAAAAAGAAAGGTCTGTAAAGGCCTTACATGCTGGAAATTACAGAGCACAGTAACAGGCTGTTTATTTGTTCCTAAGCTTGTCCTGATTTCATTGGAAGGTACACGGTGTTTGAGTATGTGCTGTTCAACAGAGAAAAGCTGAGAGCTGAAGGTAAGATGGGAGTGGAGCAAGTGGAGCTCAGAGAGATAATGTCAGTATGAGGAAATGTGCAATATTGGGCTGTCATTTATGACAAAGAATGCTAATTACATTCTCAGATCATTCTTACATCAAATAAACACACTTTAAAAATACTTCAGCTGCGCATATGTGGTATTTCTGTCTGTTGCATCACTGAATGTCAGAGCTCATCTGTATGATTAATTGGCTTTTTGATTACCTAGCTTTTTCAATTAGAAGCTTCATATTTGTGTTCCTCAGTGCTGCTGAAAAAACAGTGCAGACGTTGATAATAAAGGGAGACGACAACAGAACAGATTAGTGTCAGCACAGGGTGCTCCTTATGGAGAAAATTATTATACATATTCAGTGCCAGATGAAGTCTGTCAATTATAAAATATTTCAGTGACTGAGTGAAGATGCTCAACCTTTTGAGGAGATTAATACAGGACAAAATAACTGTGCACCAGTGACAGCTGTGATACTAAAACATAAACAATTCCATTCTCTGGGGCAATATCTGTTCATAAATTTAGTTTATGTGCTAAAAACCTTTTGATACTTTCCAAAAACCCGGCGATTCCCCTAACAGCTGCCAGTGCTTCTAGGTCAAAGATAGCACATAAGCGATGAATTATTACATGCTCCACAGCAGCAAAGCAAAATGAGATCGTTTAACAAAGGAGTTAAAGAATAACCTTCTCATACTGTATATCTAACTAGAGTGTAAGGCTGTTATTTAAGAGTTCACACATCAAGCTTTGAGAAAAATCTGTGTTCTTCGTTATGTGTTTACAGGCTAATGATGCTTCTTGACTAGAGCAAACAAGTGGAGAGTAAGATAGCAGAATTCAGATGGTGAATGTGTGTGTATCCTACATTATTTCAATTGCTCAATACAATAAGCTGGCCTTAATGGTATTTTTAGCCATCTGGTTTTTCTTTTAAAAGGTAGCGCAGCAAGAAATAGGAAAATGAGCATCTCAGATTGTGCAGCTTGGGACCTTGAAGACTGGCCTCTCTGTAGAGTTGTCTCATGTGCATCTACACAGATAGACACACACACATTCTCACACACTTCTGTCCATCATTTTTTTTGTTCAACTTCTTTGTGTCCATCATCCTTCCGTTATGCCACTGGATTGCATGTAAATTCAAAGCCCTGGTGGTTACAGACTTCATAACTACTTTTACATCCCTACTATAACTGTGACATGTAGGTTCCAGCCAACATCAACAATTGCATTAATTTTGTCTGCAGAGCATCTGACGTCCTGTCACTCCTTCACCCAGTTGCTTTTGTTTTAGAATGTTTTTAATGCCTGGGAGTCGTGACTGCATGCTTTCTTCTTCTGCCTGGCGTTCTGGCATCAAACACAACGAGGTGTGTCTGTGTGTGCTTCTGCAGCTTACAGACAGTGATTCAACTCTCTCTACATCTCTAGAAGCTTTCCTCAACAAATCCAGCTGTTTTCATTTACGTTACGCTGCTTCATAATACTGTTAAGCATCGTTGCAAGGATCATGCCTCCTAGTCATGGGAGCAGAAGGAAATTAATTTTAATAGACTGCTGTATGACACAACTACTTAGTTTATCTATATGAATGAGCAAGATGTGTATCCCAATATTAATCAGGATATTTCTCTTTCAAGCTAAGCTTCTGTGCTTACAAATTCACTGAAAGCATTTCTAGGAAGTATTGTTCAGTATGCATGTGAATATGCATGCAGCATAAGGTAAAGAAAATAATTCTGTTAGCATTTAGAAGTTTCAACATTATGTTATACTGCCCAGCAGTCAACAAGTCACTGCTCTCTATGGTTCTTGGGGGTTTTCTGATTTCTTTGCAATCCCTTGCTGACTTCAGTGGCCTTTTTACAGGGAGCTTCCTGCACTGCACAAGGCTTACTGCCAGATCAGAGCCTGAGAATATAGACATAAGTTCTGCAAATGTGATCCTCTTATCTGCATCCATTTCTTTCACGACTTACATTTTTAGGAAGGATTTGCAAATCAGAGGTTCAGCACTTAATTTGGGGATTCTACTTACCATGTAGGCTGTCAAGGAGCATTAACCTTAAGGTAAGATGAGCACACAGAGCACGAAGCTGTGAGCTGATGGCACATACTATACCAGGTGTTAAATAGTATTATCCATCCTGCTTGCTACAGTAAATAGGATTTCACTATTATGATGTGTCAGGATTTTCAAAGAAATCAAATTTACTAGACACTAAACTGCCATTCTCACTGCTGAGCAGCTTTATTCCGGGATCTTGTGTTCATGCTAATCCTGTTGGTAGGAAATGCTTATACCAATTGTACGGGGAAATTATAATTTAATGATCTCTTCTTTTTTTCTATTCAAGTCTTAGAATGGACCAGTGTGCTTTGCAGTGATAGAGCCAGTGCTCAGAAAGGAGATAACATACAGCTCAGCTTCACAGCCAAGTATTGGCTTTTTGTATGTGATTATAATGAAC